TGTAAGTATATTCTGTGTAAAATATGTGGATTTTTTGAAAAAGAAAACTTTTCAGCCTATCTTTGCTTAACCAAGCGAGTAAAATTCGCGCTTGGAAAATTGTAAAGCGTTTTATTCGAGGTATATTGATGATCGATAAGAAAACATTCGTCGACAAGGTAATTTATTAGCCGAGTTATTTATTTTAACGATGCATTTTGCGCAATCCCCAGAAATGCACACGGCTTGGCTAAGAAGTGAAAGTTGGTTTGACAACTAACGTAATAGAGAACCGATAAGGATATAACAGGTGGTGTATCAAAAATAAAGGATCGAAATCTCTCTTTCTCTTTCTCTTTCTCTTTCTCTTTCTCTTTCTCTGTCCTGTGAGATACGAAATCTACGAGGTGTCCCACGTATAATTCGTGTTACGCGAACCTAACCCGGAAACGTTAGCTTTCTGGCTTGAGTATATTAACTCGATTATATCTTCACGAGAACTTCCTGGACAGCCTAATCTTTATAACTTAGAAAGTTATTTACTTATATGTAGACGCATATGTCTCTAATAAGTGCGATTACCGTAATCTGTTACATAAGTATATATGTATATTAATTAATGTATGCAACACTTATACACGCATGTGTTTTTTCATAGAATGCAGTCTTGAAGGAAAAAGTCAATTACTCGTTTGAAAAATAAAATGCAATTAAATATTGCTTTGATTCATAAATAAATGGTAAAAATCAATTGTCAACTTTGCGAGGAACATAAAAACAAGGAATAAAAATATAGGCAATCTCAGCTCATGCATTTGCTATGCATTTAACCGTATGTCTCGATTGAGTGTGGTACCTGTCCTTGACCTCAAAGGTAAATCGATCGACACTGTAGCGAGATGCTGAACCTGACACACTCTGGTTAATTTGCATTTTTCTGTAATCTCGAAAAGAATAAAATCAAAGATTTCAATTTAGGAGAGATGTCAATGTTAACAATTCTTCTTGTACCGCAAAACTATTTGATTTTTACAAAGTTTAGTCATAGAACAAAATCTAATTTTATAATCTACTTTTTGTCTACATAAGTATTTACATTTCAAAGAGATTAAACATTTTATTTACGTAACTTTTCGACTTATAAACTTTCGTCGTAAAACGAAAGATAACGATGATAATCTGACTATCATTCTAAGATAAACAGAATTATCAGGATAGTCGAGTAAGAAAAGTAGATGAAAAAGAAGAAAAAGAGGAGGAGTTGAGCAGCTCCAAAGAGAGAAGGTCATTCCTAAGACTGTCTCGTTCGAAGGCTACTACAAGGTGCCGCATTCTTTCGTGATGGAATGCAAGGAAAAGCCCTAACTTCGAATTTTCAACAGTCTTCTATATGTTTTCTCACCACACCCTAGAAAAAAAATCAAATAAAGAAACGCAAACTTTCGAATCTCGTGGTTTTTGATTAAATTCTAAATAAAACTGTAAATTCGATGACGGAAGGCGACAAAGCGTGACATTCGTTTAAAATAGTATTAAAATGATCGTTCCGAGAGCTCGCGAGTTAGTTCCCCTTGTTTTTACGAATCCCTTAACGGATGTAAGGGAACGTTGACCCATGGACAATACTTAATCGGACGAGTTCAGGATAAACTTACTATCGGAATTATCAGTTGTTATTATCTTTGCATCATGTTTACGAGTTGAATCTATCGTACATCGAAAAAAGAAGAAAAAAAATTAAATGATACACTTTCCTCGCCATTTCTTAAGTGACTAAAAAACAGAACGATAAAAAAGAACGGGATAACAAATTCCACTAATGAATCACACTTTTAAACGAATTCTATTGAAAATTGTTGGAATTTTTCTATGCAAAAATGGCCTTCGCGTAATTCGCCGTGTATTACGGCCGTGCATTACGCCCGTGTATTACGACCATGTATTAGAGCCGTTATACGCACTTATATATACTTCTCTCATTTAATACTATTCTCCGAAACATGGCTGTTACGTGAGAATTTAACCAATGAATGAACGTTGTTCTTGTTCCAAAGTTTACTTCGTTATCTCGTTGACCATTGTCATTTCTCTCGATCGTACGATCAAACCGAATTGATCTTATGTTAGTACCTTTGATGTTTGTATCGATACTCGAACCTTTTTTGCTTTGAGATTCTCGAGTTTCTTTTAACGATTAACACGTGAAACTGTTAATGCGTACATACGTATTTATGTATGTATGTACGTACGTACATATGACGGTTTCTCCGTTCACTGCGAATTCGGTCAACTAACGTTCTCCACGCCTTCTCGCAACTAGTCGCATAAGTTTCCACTCGAAAGCATTCGTCCGACGCGCGCGATCTTCTAAATAGTCTATTATTCATATTTTAATATTCTTCTAAAGCATTAGAAAAATAAATAAAACATCGTATAGAAAATACAACATCATGCAACTCGCAATGAGTATTATTAAGGTTATTAAGAAAAAGTAGAATAATTCTCTCCTCCCAACCAGTAGCATTAGCACCCCCACCTTTTTTCCTCTCCCATTTTTATTCTTCTCTCTACTGGCATTAATAATACGGCAGAGCATTATTCTAACGAAGCAAAGGACGTAGCAAATATAAAGAGCAGCCAGCAGCAGCAGCTCATTGAGCGAGACTCGATGGAAAGCATACGGGCAAGATGGCCTCGTTCTTTTTCTCTCCATCCATCGTTTCTTCTTCCTTTCATTAAGCATTACATCTCAGTGAGCATTGTCAAGGTACTCTTTTCCTTCCATTTACACGCGAGGAAATGGAGCAGGTCGTCGGATTTATTCAACGACAGTATTGTTTTATAAGCATTTACTAAAACAACGATCGATAACAAAAATATGATCAATCACGAAAAATCAATCAATACAAAAGAAAACTATAAATAATTATTATTGGCACAGTACTCATAGAGCTAGAAGGTGATTGATAAACGCGTAATTAGATGCGTAATTAGATGCGTAATTAATTAGATGCGTAATTAGATGCGTTTTATCGATGAATGCGATCGCATAGCAATGATATACAATAGAAATAAAATACGAGAAGTGTCAGAGTACTTAAAAGAAAAACAAGAATAAGAAGAAGAAGAAGAAATATTATAGAAGTACTTTGACACAAATTTACATTTGTGATGCAAAAGCGCGATCGTTTGACCCTTCATTATTCGCTTAATTTATTCTCAATTCACGAAAAAATAATTCACGAAAAAGAAATAATAATATCAAACGAATGCGTCATCGTTTCTATTTCAATGAGTTTACAAAAGAATTTCAACGTATAATCAAACAATGTTATCGATCTTTGACCCTTAAATTCAAGAAATAAGTCAACTAGGATTTACGAGACATTTACGACTGATACTCGCGTTTACATTTATTTACTTATAATAAGATCAAATTTGTTATTTAATTATTAATCTATTATAGAGTTTGCTCGTCATCATACTTTCTTACCAATTGGACGATAAAGAATATATCTAGATATAGAAATAATTATTTATTTGGACAAACTCCGTTTAAATTTAAACGACAAATATAAGTAGTAATGTCAATGCTACAGGTACCGTTATCCGTATTTGCGTAGGACGTAAAACATCCCTCTATTCTTCCGTGTTTGTCTTTTATACGAGGAACTTGGACGTGTTTTGGAACTTTCTTCGGTTCGAAGAAGAGACATGAAAACGCAATCATTTAAGATCGAAGAACGTAGGCAGGGAAGGAAAAACCGGTTTCTTCTTTGCCGTTCGTTCGTATTTTTACTCGAATGAAGAACATTCGAGTGGCCAACCTTCTTGGAAAAGTCAAGTTGTACAACCGAGATTGCGGTTGTAAACTAACCGAGTACCAAAGTATATCGTTCAATTTAAATATGTCTATACGCGTGCCAATGAAGAAGAAATACTCCTTCTTACAAAGATTGATAAACAATATATATTATTTAATATCGTAGGAAGCATTGAAGTATACTAAAATATCATTGCAAGAAGAGAACAAAATCATTCGTAACGAAACTAACTGCGCGCTATCCCGTCTATCGAGAACTTCCTAATAAAGTACCCAATTACGTCCTTACAAATATTTATTAACTTCCTTCAATTTTCAAATGACATTTCTTCTACTTTAAAATGAATAAATATTGAACGTCTCATCAATGTGATAAACAACTCCGTTGATGAGAATTTAAAGAACTGCAGCAAATCATTTCAAGCTTTACTTGAAAATATTTCAACGTCAAATGTTTATTATTCATTATTTTGAACTTACTTGTTCCTTTATCCTTTATAGTAATCCGATAATTATTCCAATATTAATTCACCTAGTTTATGGTAGCTCTTGGAAACACTCACAAATTGACTTCACGATTCGTCTAACAAACTCTTGCATCGGTGTTCAAAGTTACACTGTTGTATTCTATTCAATTCTATTGTGAAATTCCTACCACTGTGCAGAAGTGACCAGTAGAGCCTCTAGTTTATATTCCAAGAAACTGCATGTGACTTTTTGTTTCCGTCGATCAATAAAGAATCACACGAATCGAGAATGCTCTTCAATATTTCGACAAACTACCGATACATGGAGCCTATATACAAGGAGGACGTGTTATAAATGTGGGTACAATAATCACAATGAAAGGATGATTTCTATTGCCACTAGAGAGCGCGTCTAGTCGCTTGGTCTGATTTTTAAAAACAGTAATTAAAACAAAAACATCAAAGAGACCTATTAATTTCATTTGTTTATTTATAAAATCACACGTACTTAATAAGTATAAATTTAAGAACATCACCGTCGCCCTTGTGGATAATTATCGTACCCGATATTCAATCATTTTCAACAACACAAATTAGACGCAAACGCCTATCTCGATCGTCCTCCTTGTATATAGCTTCGTTGTTCTGACTATAAACTATTTTATATATATATATATATATATATATATATATAGTTGACTTGGTAATGAATAAATTATTTCACGAAAATATTTCTGGGAAAAGAAATAGAAATTTATTTGATTAGATACACGATCAGTCAGGTATCGGTAGTTCGTCGAAATATTTAAGAGCATTCTCTGCGGCGGACAGCACCAAATTATAAACAGGATGAATAATCTCTACTGTATTTAAACTAGGTGGTCCAATTATCAAACGGCGTGGCGAATTTTGTGCGATTGATAAACCACTCAGCGCGTAACAGGTATGATATATATCACGATTTCTAAAATTAATTAAGTCATATAACTCTCTCTCTCTCTCTCTCTAACAAAATGATAATAATTGTTCAAAGAAAAAAAGAAAATATATACTTTCCAGGTTTGTCCACGAGTCCTCCAGAAGAATGCTGGCAACAAATTAATATATATTCTTGTAAGGCCTCTTGATTAAATAACCAATAATTAGTATTGAATACTTTTCCTTCTTTTGTTAAAATTGCATGGATCAATGGAAAAGCTCCACCTTGCCAAAAGGAATAGCATCCATCTACTAATTTGTTAGTACGTCCTTGGAAACCCCCTTCCAAACGCATCTGACGATTAACTATCCATCTCTGAAATCAATATTTCACATGTTCGTAATACAATTCTATAGATACAAGCTCGTATCTATAATAAATAATAAATCAAATGAAGTCATACCAATAACGATGACATATTACAAACGTTAGTTTTCCCAAGAAGCGCAAGGGCTGCCAAACCACAATATGCGTAGCCACCGTGTGCCTCCATACCTGGGCAACCTCCAAATCCACCTTCCCATGTTTGACATTTTGCAATCCATTCTTCTGTTCCTTTGAACAATACAGGGGTGTAGATATTTGTAAGTCTGGCCACAGAAACGGCACAATATACTCCTCTGATGTCGACTTCTCCATCCACGTGCATACCAAAAGCACCATCCTCTCCTCGCAAGGACAATAGGAAATTGTACAGTCTTTTTCTGGAATTACCGCATCCTTTATTTAGAGAAAGAAATTATTTAATTGGGGGGATATAATATTAATAAGAAATTAACCATGCGCTAAAGTAACATTAACAAGTTTAAATGAACAAACTCAAATGATACTAACCTTGTGAATTCGAATACATACCTGTCTATTACTGCATATGCTTCTGTAGTTCCTATAATGCATAAAGCATTAACAGCAGCATAAGTTGGTGCTAGATGAGGATGCTGCCCTGGACCTCCACCGAAGCCTCCCTTTTCAGATTGACATTTGCCAAGAAAGCCGGCAATTTTAGAATATTCTTCATTCTCTAAAGATTCTCCTAATATATGAAGTGAATGAAGTATCCAATAGCATAACCATGGTCTGCTGGAATCTAAACCCTTAACATAAAATACACTTAACATTGTATGGGCAAGCTTGATGAATTTTTACAAACTTTTTTATTGTCATTAATATACAGATGTCTATTATTTTTTTCTTTATGTATACCTCATAAGGCTCGCTGAGATGAATCAATGATTTTTTTAATAAAGCCACATGTTTTTGTCTCGTTAAAATAGGCTCTTTGTTCATTTCATAAATTTCAAGTATATTTTTTTCTGTATTGAGCTAAAAACAATATTATTGAAAAATACAAAACGGAGTGCATATATATATTTTTACATTGATATTATGGTACCGCTAACTAACTTGTTCAACTGTGGATGCAGTCTCAATACCCTCTTCATCTTGTCTTTGTTCTAATAATTCTGTATAACTTCTAATAGTCATTTCTTCATCAAAGTCATTAAACTCTGAATTCCACATAATCTGCAAAATATAACGCATCATTAAAGATTTATAAGATAACATGTTATAAGTTAAAATAAATGATGTTACTAAAATGACTATTTCGTATATTAATTTTGGTGCTAAAAAATATGCATGGTCAAGTTTACTTCAAAGAATGAAATGAACATAATATTAACGATATGATATGTTTAAATGACATATTAGAAAAACATTTGAAACATCACAAGTAACAATAATAACAATGCTAATAATAATTTGACTCACGTTAAAATCTGTTCTTTTCTGCAACACTATTTCAGTAACTATTTCATTTTATATGCTACATAAATTTGTTATTCATCTCAAATTATAAAATATCCAAAAATTCTCAAGATTGAATAGAATTATAAAGAACGAAGATATTTAGCCACTCGTTAAAATAGCACACATCCAAACACTAGATGGCAGCATGTGAGGAATTTTTGTAGCGACCTGCTGTCGATAAGCAGATTTCTACTTTATCCTATGCAACGACTGGCGCCGCCATTCTCACTGCTCGTTCTTTGGCAAACTACTTGAGCGCTAGCACTCTATCATAGCTAACAGCGTTTCTATGGGAACGTTAAGGTTTCCGTAGTTACAAAGACTTTCTTCTTTCGTTGTTAGAAAATAAATTAGTTAGTCAA